ATTGTCGCGTCCCAACGGGACGCGATAACTCGATCCCCGAGAGGTCGATTTCTACCCGCCGATTCAGGCGGGTAGTGTAGACCTAGCCTCAGTCTCAAAGGTGCCATGTTACCCAGTATGCTAGTTGCCTTTTTCTAATGCTGCTACAAACTATACTTACCATTTCCAGGAGTTTCCAACATCCCTCCATAATGTCAGTGGAGAAACAAAATGTCAGAAGGCATTATGTGTCTGTCCTTGATTTAAAAGGTCAGAAGAACAGCATCCTTCTAGAAAGTAGAATAAACAGTGTATTTCAAATATGTTTAGTCTTCATGGATAATTGTACTCATTTCAAGTCATATAGTCTGAATTATTTTACATTGATATCCAAAACAGTAAGGTTAGACAAAGGTTGTTTTTTTTATTTTAAAAGTGGTTTTTGTTTTGTTTTGTTTTGTTTTTCTGTTCAAATACGTATCAACTGTTAAACAACCACTTCCCCAATGAACTCTTTGCTACTGCATGCAAAACACTGCATTTGTGCACTTACCGATTAATGTGAACAGTATCCCGCACCCATCAACTTTTTACATAAATTATTATTCAGTATTGCTCTTTGTAGACTTTCTGACTCTCTCGTTAGGATAGAGTGTTTTGGCACAAAAATAAAAAGGCAGTTTGTTTTTCAACTGAATGAAAATTGGTGTCAGAATAGCACTGCATTGCGCTGTGTGTTGCTTATGAATGGGGCACATTTAAATTCTTTAGCTTAAGTTTGAACCTCTGACCCCAACAGTACAAAATGTCTTAGTTAACCAAGATTTTGCTTGCTAGCATTCAAGTAGCTTTCATACTTGTAATTAAAAAGTACCCATTTAAAACTAAATATCAATAGATTAATCCAGGGTAATTTTATTTTTACAAAGCAGCTATACAGTAGTTAAAACACTATTACCCTTGATTTCAAGACAATTATGGATAATTTATTGTTGGCTAATTGGATTGTTACATCTGTCCAGTAAAACAGTTAATTTTGGTTTATTTGCATATTGCAATCCTATTGGTATTCTCCAACTTGCATGGCCTTCTAGGTTTTAAATTCTGGTAGACTTTGAATTCTAGAACAAGAGATAATGAAAGTTTCTGTTACGGGTTCTGAGTTCTCCCATTGTCTAATATTTCTTAATGTGTTAGGGTTAAAATGACATCCTGGATTGTGAAAACTATTGCCCATAGGATATTGAAATTTTGAGCATTAGTTATTTTCAAGACAAGAAATATTAGTTTTCTACTCTAAGGTGAAAGCTCTGCATGTTTTATTTAAATTTAAACTACTAAAAAAACCTTATATTTACTTTCTTTCAACTCCTTGGCTTGCCATTATCAGTAACAAGGTCAGTTTTGTTGAACTGAATGTTAGCATATCCCTGTTCCTGAGGACTTTACATTTCAGGATAAATCTGTCTGAGGGCTCTGCTTAGGTTAATGAGCCTTTTTTGCTAAGGCAAGAAAACCCTTGTTGAGAAGCATGAAAAGTCAGTGGCATAATTTGTTGTGATCATTCCCACTGTCTTGATTGATGGCAGTAAGAGAGGAGTTGACATCACCAGTCAATATTTTTGTGACTGTTGATCAGTGTATGGGTAAGAGCACTGAACTATTTAGATCCTATGAATATATTTTAGTTAATTGAATTATGATTTGAAGTACGAGGCGGGCATTTTGTATCTTGTATTACCTAAATTTACACATCCTTAAGCTGCCCCTCTGGCAAAATCCTATTTTCCAAGTACCCAACATCTTTGGTTTTTTACATTGCAATTTTGAAGACACCTGATTTGCAGCAGCCACATGTATAGCTTTAATTGAGCTAGGTCTTTACATTGTGAGATAAGTATTTTACCACACCCCCCCCGGGACTAAGATATCCCAGAAGTATTTCTCAAAAAGTACAAATACAGGCCAGCTTAATGTTCTAATGGCAGTGTAACACAGGGATCCAAAATCAGGATATGATTCAGTCTGGAGTACCTGCACCAAGAAGGTGGAGAGATGAAACAACACGGTGTGTCTGACTAGTGATTTTGTTTGACCTTGCTCAAAGCGCTGGGGATAGACTTCACAGAATGCTTCGTCCATGAGGCCAGAGCTTAGTGAGTGAAAGAGGAAATAGAGGATCCAGTTCAATATGCTTCCCCTTCCTCAAAACAGGGAAGATATTATGTGAGACGGGGAAAATGATTGAATGAAAACAATTTGAATTAGAGCATGGATTTACAAAATATAGGTACCAGTAGATGGAGCTATTGCACACTGTAAACTTGTATTTGTGTGTGTGTGAGAAATAGAATAGACGAGATCTCTTGCTGGTTGCCAGTTTCACAGTAATTGACCTCAGGCTTTTCTTTACTATATTTCACTTATTTGGAAATACACACTCTTAGTATTTTCCCCTATAAAGAAACCTTTTGTGTTCTCCGATGGAACAGCAGTAATGTGCTCTAAGGCAGGAATCCCTAAGGGGGCCGCGGGCAGGTTTCAGGGGGACTGCCAAGCATGGCCAACATTAGACTCTCTAGGGCCCAGTGCAGAAAGTCAAAACCCTGCAGCAAGGGACTGCGGCCCAGGACTCTGAGCCCCACCACCCAGGGCTGAAGTCGAAGCCTGAGCAACTTAGCTTTGCGGTGCCCCTGTGGTATGGGGCCTAGAGCAACTGACCTGCTTGCTACCCCTTAATGCTACCCCTGGCTCTTATATGTAGAAAGAACAGCTGTTGTGGCACAGCTGGGCCATGGCGTTTTTATTGCATGGGGGGGTGAGGGGGGACTCAGAAAGAAAAAGGTTGGGACACCCTGCTCTAAGGCTTAATTTTCCTCAAGTATGTTGGGTTTAAGGAGATAAAATTAATTAATAGCTCTTAACATTCAAGTACTTTAGATCTAAACAAAACTTCATGGTTTTTCCTTTTAAGAAAGAGGAATTGAGCAGCTAGGAAAAACAATAACCTCAAATAAAACAGAAACCAGCAAAAGCATTTCTTTTTTGGAGTATTTCAGACTTCGCATGGAGTTAATGGATAATGTTGATAATATGGTATTAATTAGCTGTGCCTAGTATCCTTGACTACCTATCCCAGTAAGCTTTTAAAATGTAAATAGTAGTTAGGTTATTGGTTAACAAGAGGGAGAATAAAAGCCATTAAGCACTTAACTGAAATGTTTGTAATGTTTCACTGGGGTTTCTATGCATCATTTAGAGTCAGCTTGGCTTTCTGAGGTGTAGAGTGCTGTGTAACTTACTGCGCAGTTGAGCAGAAAATTTAAATGGGCAAGCTCCTGTCTCCTCTATGTGGATGTTAAAGATTTCATAACTCTTAAAGATTTTCCTGGGAGACATTGTGCATTGTTTCTCCTCCGCCCCTCATTGTGCGATGTGTGCTGTGTACCCTTGTTTTCTGTCTGGCTGCTTCCCCCTAATCCAGAAATAGTTGAACTTTAGTGGTGACATGATTCCTGTAGGTGTTTAATTTGTAAAGTACTTCCTTTGGGGGAGAGATGCTACATAAATGTAAATTAGTTTTAAATGACATAATTACCTTATTTTTTAAGGCCTCAGTACTTCAGTGTTCTGAACACTCTGGCCACAGTTTAGTAAAACATATAAGCATGTGCTTAAATGTTTTGCAGGATCAGGGCCAAAGTGATCAGCACCTTGCAGATTGAGCCTTCCATGTGTGTTGATTTTAAAAACACTTAAACTACTTAACATCTTAAAATAACACATTTTAAAACTGAATCTAACAAGTGTTTCTCTTCAGTTCTAGTAGTATAGGAGAACCAGCCTTCTTACAGTGCAGTCCTGAAAAACTATCAGTTTTGTGTTCACGATTGCTCACCTCTCTTGTCTGTAAATGATTTTAAGGCAGCTTCTCTTCTTTACTGCTACTCTATAGAACTGGACTTGTTCTAGAGGTTCAGCTCCTAATATATCTTAAAATTGTTTGGCATAAGGGGAAGATTTTTTTTGTTTTTTGAAGTTGCTCTTCATAGTTTTGTGATTCCCAGGTTCTCTGGTTTCCAAAGCTTACCTTTGCAGGTGGGACTATATGACTGAATAGATCATCTGTTTTTTCAAAAGGGTTTACAGGAACTTGTTAAACTTTTAGAAACAGATCAAGTGCTGAGCTTAGTGTTTCAAAGTGAAAGGAACAAGGATTAAAGAAAGATCAATCAAAATATAAACAGTGCACTAAAACAACTAAAAAGTGAAAAGATGGGGAGAAAATAGTGACAGCAACACATGAGAATGGTAATGAGGGGATGTAGTCAAGGAAAACTTACAGGGAAATAAGGTAGAGTTTTTAACAATTTGTAAAATAAATGCTTATATACTGAGACTGAAAAAAGGGGAATTTCTGCTACATTATTTTAGCTTGTTTTTTCCCCCACAACTGGTTACAGTATATGAATGACAGCCTTCTCTGGAGCTTTCTTTTAATTAGTAGCCCTGTTACAGCTGTTCGGATGTTAGTTTGTTTAACAGTATAGGAGTTTTTGTCTCCGGTATGTTTGCTCTCTTAATGCATATTTCTGGTTACCTATGGGAGTTGTCTGCACTCCTGCAGGAAATGTTATCATTTAGAACACTGACAGGCTTCTTAATTGCCTTCTGAATTTCTCTTGCATATAGAAATTCATGAAGGATTGCAGTACATATTACTATAGAAGCTCTGCTCAGCGTTCCATAGTTAAGGTTGAGTTGAGTTTTGTACTTAAAGCAGGAATATCTAAAGGAAATCAAATATTGTAATAGGAAATAGCAATATAACTAGTAAAAGTATAAGCCAATACACTGTATATGTAACTATACATATATGCCCATAGTCATGCATTGTCTTATCCACACACAAATTGGTAGTTGTATGTATATCTGTGGGCATAAATACATTTTTATATAACTTGAATCAGATCTGTGCTTTGTCCTCTCATCTTATACATGTGTGTAACTTTTGTTTACAGGTTGGATTTGCTACCATTTTATGCAAGGCTGGTTGCCACATTGCATCCCTGTATGTCTGATGTAGCAGAGGATCTTTGTTCCATGCTGAAAGGGGATTTCAGATTTCATGTATGTTTGGTTTGTTTTACTGCATACAGATTAAGAAATCTGATATACCATCTTTTGAAAAAAAATGCTTGTTATAAGTTATATTATTTTCACTAAAGCAAATGCTGACTCAAACATAACAGAATAGTCAGGTAGCTCAGAAGTCTTATTTTCTAATTATATTGCTTTGTTGGATTCATTTGTACATTGAATAACCTTTTTGTCAGACTGCATGTCATTTATTTATACACGTTCATATAGTGTCTTCTTCAAGCTCCAATGTTAAACCACAATTAAACTTAGTTCAGATGGTAGCATGACTTAGAAATTACATAAAAGTTAGGGCAGAAGCTGCAAAAACTAGAAATAATGTTATAGAATAGAATTTATAGTTCACAGTTAAAATTGACATTGACCTGTATTAATAGCAGTTTGTTTGTTTACAAAAAGATGTCTGCTATATATTGTGCTTTCAGTCCTACTACATCCATCTTGGAAAAGGTCAAGAAAGATAAATATTGGAATGTAAGAAGGTTAGAAATCTGAAAACATAGTTCTTCACAGTTATTTTTCAGTCTTGTTTCCTGCCCTGTATTTAAATTTGATTATAAAATTATGATGGACAACTGCTATTTTTTCAATGTTTCCCCCTGAACTTTATTATGGATCTCTCAAAATCTGTTTTTTCTAGTGGCATCAGTTAACAGAACAAATACATGGATTATTTAAATGTATAGTTTTTTAAAATTAACTTAAGTTAATTATTGTTTATGCTAAAGCCAAAGCATCAGTTTGAGTGTAGGGAGAATTCCATTATTTGCATTTTATTAAATAATATTTTGATTAGTGTCCATCAGTACATTTTAAAAATTTCTTTTAATGAAACGGACATCACTTTGGTTAAGACAGTCCTGTTAACTCTCCCAATTTGGTTTGAAGACTCCTGATTTTGGCTGCTTCCTTCAGAACACTAACTATAGACTCCACCTATAACATGCTACAGTGATATTGGGCAGGGTGATGTAGAGTGTCACACTAGCCATGTTTCTAAGGCTAGGTCTACACTACCCGCCTGAATCGGCGGGTAGAAATCGACCTCTCGGGGAATCGACGGGACGCGACAATCGATCCCCTAATCGACGCTCTTACTCCACCAGCGGAGGTGGGAATAAGCGCCGTCGACAGGAAGCCGCGGAGGTCGATTTTGCCGCGGTCCTCACAGGGGGGTAAGTCGGCTGCGATATGTCGAATTCAGCTACGCTATTCACGTAGCTGAATTTGCGTATCTTAAATCGACTCCCCCCTGTAGTGTAGATGTAGCCTAAGGCTATCAGTATTTTGGGGGACCATGTTCTAGGTAGGAAGGAAGTTCAGAGATGGAGACATTGAAGAGCCAGAGCAGAGATGATGGGAGGCGGGGGCGGGAAGAGGGGGAAGTTGTAGTGTTAGCCAAATCAGGGGAATGGGGGAAGTTTGAGTGGAGTAGCCAAATTAGAGGGGGAAGGTGGGGAGCCAGAGATAGGTGAAGACATAGTCGGGGGGGGAATCAGACTGGAAATTTCCAACTTTCTGAACTCTCAGCCTTAACAAGTATGCTAAATGAAAGGAAATATATTAGAAATACATAAAAGGTACATATTTCTGAGACCCTAAAATTAAATGCATATATATTTCCCTCTTTATTTAGGTGAGAAAAAAGGACCAGATCAATATTGAAACAAAAAATAAAACTGTGAGATTTATTGGAGAGCTTGCCAAGTTCAAGATGTTCTCCAAAAATGACACCCTGCATTGTTTAAAGGTTAGTGTTGGTGAGACATGTAGTTAGAAAAGTACAGTACTTGTTTGTAATGCATAAGATCATCTTCCCACTCCCATCCTCCATTTTTCTATTGTTAAAGATTTTGTTGTTGTGTTGCATAAAATATTGGAACCTTGATTTTCTTGTTACTTTTGGTTTAAAAAAAAAAAAGTTTGTTTTACAGTCACTTTAGAAACATCCCTGGAGTGTTTTAATCTCCCATAGTAAAAAATCTATTACAATATACTTCCCTATTGGGATATGAGAAAATGACTTGCTGCTAATTGTTTTTCTCGGAAGGTAGTTGTAAGCAATCCCTAATCATCCATCCAAACTTCCTTGCAGAGCTGGAAATGAGCTTTTTGTTATTACTTTAACAATAAGGAGTCTGGTGGCACCTTAAAGACTAACAGATTTATTTGGGCATAAGCTTTCGTGGATAAAAACCTCACTTCTTCAGATGCATAGAGTGCATCTATGCATCTGAAGAAGTGGTTTTTATCCACGAAAGCTTATGCCCAAATAAATCTGTTAGTCTTTAAGGTGCCACCAGACTCCTTATTGTTTTTGTAGATACACGGCTACCCCCGATACTTGTTATTACTTTGTTTCTTATTATTTCTCCAATAAAAAGGAAACTTTTCAGTGACTATAAAAGAGAGGCTGATATGCCACCTCAGTAGGCAGGCATGTACCATTTATTGAGGAAGAAGTAAATCATCTCAGAACATTGAGCTCCAGCTGTTTAGTCCCAGATTCCTATGTGGTATTAAGGTTAAGTCTGACTGTTTATCTTCTCTTCACAATTGATTTTAACTCAGATTTTTAAAATAAAATAAGATGTTTATAATAGGACATTGTAGATAAATATGTTTTCAAGTAGCTTCCGGTGGTGGTGGTGGTAATTTTTAGATCTAGTTAGTTACTAAAACTGAATTTTAAAAATCAGATAAACTAATCATTTATGCAGTTTCTCTAGTAGCTGATGAGTATCTGGATAGTACTATAAAATGCGAAGTCCTATTCTTTGTATCTGTTGCTCAACTTGAACAATAAAACTAGATTAGTTAATTTCACTTTTGGTTAATCGTGTGCTTGTACAATATTAAGTGCTGGTTTTCCAATCTAGCAAAGCAAATTTTAAAGCAGGTATGAATTATTTTTAAAAAGTGTGCATTATCATTTTTTTAAAGTTATGAGTTTTCTATAGTAGGTTTTGTAAACAGCCTATTTTTTAAATGTAGAAATCCTGTATTTGGAACCTAAACCACCACTTTACACAATATTACTTTCTTATTAAAAGGAAGTTTCATAATGAAATGGCATGAGAACCATGCCAGTATCTTATCACTCAAATTGAGATGAAATATCATTTCCATTTTTTAATACAGTTTCAATAATAATTGTCTAGTTAATAAAATCATATTTATTAGTGTTCTTATGAGTGGAAAAAGAGATTCAAAATGTGGTGACTGTGTGTATATTTACACAGATGCTTCTGTCAGACTTTTCTCATCACCATATTGAAATGGCATGTACTCTGCTGGAAACGTGTGGAAGATTCCTATTTAGATCACCAGAGTCTCACTTAAGAACAAGCGTTCTTTTGGTAAGATAAACTATAGCCATTTTGTGGTAGAAAATCCATGTACTGAATTCAACTGTCGTCATTATCTTTTCTTTGTTTTGCAGTTTTGTCATACAACCTGGCAATAATGGCCATAACGACCGTAACATCAACTAATGCAAACTTTAATTCGATTTTATCCCCTACTAAAATAACAGTTTATAAATAGTGTTCTTCATATAAAACACCACAAAAATCTTTAGAATTAATTTATTGTGATCTAAAGCAAAAAGGAAAGTTTTCCCATATGAAATTGCTTCCACAAGCTCCTACTTTTAGAACTGAGTGCTGAGCTGTTCAGACCTTGGACTCTTAGGCCTGGTCTACACTGGGGGGAGGCGATGGACCTAAGATACGCAACTTCAGCAACGAGAATAGTGTAGCTGAAGTCGATGTATCTTAGGTCAACTTATCTCGCATCCTCACAGCGCGGGGTCAACTGCCGCTGCTCCCCCATCGACTCTGCTTCTACCTTTCGCTGCGGTGGAGTACAGGAGTCGATGGCAGAGCGATCGGGGATCGATCACTACCTGCCAATCCGGTGGGTAGTGTAGACGTACCCTAAGAAGCAGTTAGAATCTTACCAAAGTCACTTGACTGAAGATCTCTAGGATGCAGATTGTAGCTATAAAGTGAGAAATGCGGGCTCCATTTCCATTCTGTTATTTTTCCTGTGTGTCTGCTGTAGTTCTTTGTTGAACTGCTGTTGAAACATGTTTTCTTGGATAATTTTGGTTTTATGTATAGCTTAAAATGTAATTGCTGTTTAGAGCAATTCTAGGGCCCTACAAATTTCTATGCATCAGAGCAGAGACTAACTTTTAAAAGTAGAGTTTAAGTACTGTCGAGAAATCTTTGCAGCCCAGCACATGCTGTTTTTAGGACCGGACTTTTCTTTCAGAGATACTGGAATGTGTTTGTAGCTTACTCTTGAAGCCATAGTGGAGATAGACAAGTTTCTCAAACTTTAACACTGTTACATTAGTTTGACTCCTTTGGCACACAACAGTTCCACTTTAGTGTCTGTATCTTTTATGATGATGTGCTGACACAAACACTTAGCACTGCCCAGTGTTAGTGTAGACCTCAATGCCTTTTTGACCTATACAACCTGGCTGTGTTTTCATATTTCATGTGCAAGGATGGTGGCTTTCTGAATATCATGTTTATTGGAGAACTCCAGTTACTTATAAATATCCTTGTGATTTACAGGAAAGACTTACAGAGAATTTAGTTTATTGGAAGAAAAGGGGATTGCATTTTAGTTAAAAGTGACAATACAGAGTCATGGGAAGAAGTCAGAGGATGAGACTGGAGGAATTAGAGTGAGTGGCCTGGGGAGCCAGTAGCTAGGAGTTGAGAAGTAGTTTGGAATAAGTTAGTTCAGAGTTCATTAACAAGGAGCGCAACTTGTTAATTGGAGTGGAAGAAGGTTGTGGAAGTGATGGTCTTATTTAATAGAGTAACAAAATCTGAACTCTTAAATTTAAGAGAAAAGGATTAATGAAGATTGTGAAAGAGGGAATTGCAGTTGTTGAAATGGATATACTTAAAGCATGAAAAGAGATGTCACCAGAGACAGTGTTGATGTGAGGACAAACGCTGGCAATGACCTAGAAATAGAGAGAGATTAACTTTTTTCTTCCATGTTTCTGGTCTGTAACTTTGAGTTCTAAGATGATGCCAAGATTTCAGGTCCGGAGAACAATTTTAAGGTCTGGTTAAAGAGACCAAATAACTAAGTTGAACATGATATAAAGAAAGATTCAATGACAAAAATTGCCTTTGAACAGTTTTTTTCCCAGCGTACCCTCTAGACATAGTTGGGATCCATCCTTCACAGAGAGCCTCCTGCTTTCAAGACTGTCCCTCAGGTTCTGGATGCCAAATCTCAGACACAAATTTGCTTTTAAAATGTCCTTTTTTTTTTTTTCTCCTTAGTCCATGGTGACTCATGTGTATTCAGTGTGTGGAAATCCTCAGTTAATTTGAAAGCTGGGATGTCTCAATGTCTTTCCATTAACTTTCATGGTCCACCATTGTCTCTTCCTGGCTGGACCAGGATCATTACTTGGAACTGGTTTTGTGTAAACACCTGGAGGTGCCTCTCCTTGCTGTGAGGTATAGTTGAAATTGTAGTACAGATTACGAACACAGTTTTCTGTATGCATAAATACATAGCTTCATAACCACTGTGTGTGTGTGTATATATATATATATCTCATAATGACCAGCAAGTTCAGAACATTACAAACTTTTGTAAAAGATCTTACGTGATACACTTTTGTAGTATAATAATACTGTGTTACTGTTTGGTTCAGCTGTTCATTTCTGGGGTTTAAAACTTCTGTTCTCCCTTTGGGGTGTCTGTAGCTGATTATCGCAGTGGGTAAACATAATTGTCAGTTGGGGTAAGCAGGTATTTGCTATATACCTGTATGTGATTCCAGTTCAAGCCCTGATCCATTAATTTAAAAAATAATGTATTTGCATAGTATGCTCAGTTTTCTGTATCTTATGCTCAGCAGTAAAATGTGTCCACTTCCCCAATCTGGTATATGTGCTTGGAAAACACAATGGGTCTTTTATCCTTTTAAAGACATTACTCTTGCTGTGTTGCATCACTTGCAGTTAGTACAAGTTTACAAGTCAAGATAAATAAAATACACCTTTTGCCCAAGGTTCTTTCTTGATTGCTCACTTTTGGTCTTGTCTGTGCTACAAAAATTCCCCATTGTTAGCTGTTCCCACTGGTAACACATGCTGTATCAGTACTAAATGTGGTTTCACTGTAAGCATTGTCAAGGACAACCCATGTTCACCATTTCAGAAACCGTGGTTAAAATCTGCTCAGAATTGCAGGTGAGTAATTTTCCCTTGTTATACACAGGGGGGCCTTGATGTGGGAAGTTGCAGATGGCAGAGAAGCATTTGAAACATCTCATGAATTGGAAATATAGCAGATTAAGTAGATGTAGCCACTACAAGCTCTAGTACTGCCTTACAGTAAACACACAAATCCAATTTTTTACTTAAATAGTATTATACAAATTGGATTGTAGGCTTATGTTAGCAGTAAAGGTGAACTGTGAAAAGGATTACTATCAGAGCAAATAATTTGGGGCCACCCCAAGGGAAAATCTAATCGGGTTTAAAGCCTTTCTTAGCAGTATCTAATATGTAGAATTGTGGCCTCTTGAGTTCTGATGGATATTTTTTAGCCTTAAGCTTTTCCTGCTGAGCATAAATTTTGTAATAAGGTCTCCAACTAGCTGTGTCTTACAATAATTGGCAGTCACACTGCAGCTAACTGGATCATTTCCTACCAATCACATGCAAGGATCCAGATGGAAAATTGAAATGAGAGCAAATTCTTGGAAATCATAGGACTAGATCAGGGGTCGGCAACGTTTGGCACGCGGCTCGCCAGGGTAAGCACCCTGGCGGGCCGGGCCAGTTTATTTCCCTGCTGATGCAGCGGGTTCGGCCGATCGCGGCCCCCACTGGCCGCGGTTCGCCATCCCGGGCCAATGGGGGCAGCAAGAAGCGGCGCGGGCGAGGGATGTGCTGGCCTCAGTTTCCCGCCGCCTCCATTGGCCCGGGAGAGCGAACCGCAACCAGTGGGGGCCGCGATCGGCCGAACCTGCCGCGTCAGCAGGTAAATAAACTGGCCCGGCCCGCGAGGGTGCTTAACCTGGCGAGCTGCGTGCTGAACGTTGCCGACCCCTGGACTAGATTAAAAAAAATCTGAGTAGTGATAATGTAACCCACATACCTCCTGGGTGTGGTGTTCTGTCCCATCTAGTGGCAGCGAGACCACTTAAAGAGAGAGTTAAATTAGTCTGTTCTACAGCCTTAGCTTTTAGCTCATGCTGTGGAGGCTCATGCGCTAAGCTCCAGAGGTCAATCCTGCCGGCCGATGAGCGGGGTCTGTCGGCGTTACAATAAGATAATTTTTTCTTTCCCGGGGGAATGTTTTGAGTCCTAAAAATCCTTTTTCTTTACTTTCACTCCCTTCCAAGGCTCTGTGTCACAGTGACCAGCAGAAGAAGGCCGGAAAAGATTTGATTAGAATTGCCCACTAATGGGCCATGGGATCGTTAAAGAGGGTACTATAGGACATGGGATTGGCAGGTCAAGGCTTGAGATCTAAACTTGTTTCTCATGTAGTAGCTCGTTCTGGGCTCAGCTGACATTGTGGAGCTATCTCTGGAGATGAAATATTGTTGAGTCTCATCTTATGGCAAAGGAGTAACAAAAATGCAAAAATAAGTAAAAACTGCCTTTGATATATATTGGTTGTGTTTGTTGTGTTCTCTCATAGTATGATGTCTGTTTTGTAGCTCATTCATGTCATAATTGTACTTGCCTTCACATCAAAGTCTAGACAATCCTTTGGGTTGATGTGCAAGAAAATGTCTGATTTCAAAGTGGAAGAAAATCGAATGTCCATTTGATTACATTATTTTATATTTTACATAAAGAAATTCCTCAAGTATCCATCTGAACTCAATTTTTTTTAATCCGGATAAATCCCTAACTGCCACTTTCTGCTTCTTGTAGAGCTGCTAGGAGCTTGTATTATTAGCAGAACTACTATATGTTATTTTACAGATTGAGATGAGTTTTCATAGAGGAGGAAACTTTAAAAATGAGAACATTTTATATCACGATATATGCTTGGGCTGGTATTTTCTATGTTTTTTCTGTATTAGGGAGGATTATTTGTATTAAGCTTTGGTCCTCAGCATGGTATCTCCTTCTGATGTGAAGAGCAACGCAAGTTATTTCCATAGCAACAAATTCTATGATTTAGTATTTGGGGCTGTGAAGAAAACAAACTCTTTTTTTATTAAATGCACACACCTCTGGTAATGAATAACATGCTAAGAAAAAAATAAATCCACATGTTGTACCTTTCTGATCTTGTTTTTCAGTAAGAAATATTAGAAATTTGTCTCCTGATAATCATGGTTTTGAAG